CTTTCTCTCTCATATCCCAAAAAAGGGGCACGCACCACCCTCTCATGTTTGATCTCTCTCACACATTGTGAAAGAACCTAAGGGTTTAGGATATGTAGTTCTTCTCTCTTATCTCTCAAATATGGATTTACGGCTAAGGGTTTTAGGTCTCATGTTTGATCGCTCTCTCACATTGTGAAAGAACCTAAGGGTTTAGGTTATGGAGTTCTTCTCTCCTATCTCTCAAATAGGGATTTACGGCTAGGGGTTTTAGGGTTTAGCAAAAAGAGAATTCATCTCTCTCAAACTAGATTGCTAAGAGAATTCACCTAGGGTTTGAGTTTGTGATCAAAGGGGTTCATGTTCCATTAGTGTGGCTTGGCCAAAATTTGCTTTCTAGGTTCGAGATTGAAGCTAGACTGTTAATCGCGTGCCATCGGATGGTGGTGACTCGATGTGGTATGTAATAAGCCCGGTTGAGGTAATCTTCGACACTCTTCTTTTTTGTTTCTTGCAATCTTATCTTTTATTCTCATGCATAGTGCATAGTTGTTTCAATGGCATCAAGTTGTTAATATCTTGATTTTATTTTTATGTTGATTTTATTTTGAAATTTATCTTATTACAATAAAGACCACTTGTAAGGGATCTTTTGCCAAAAGAAAGGGGTGGGAAAAAAAAAAAAAATGTATTCTCCGATAAAAGATCACATAGGTCTTACTTTCAGGGATGTGTGTTTTATTTTCATATACAAGGGGACTTTGAAATTTCCGTTTGAGTTAATCATAAGTGTTACATTCTTCTCTTCCTCTCTACAAAAAAAGAGTCGCTCTATAGTCCTTATCAAAAGTCTTCCCTTAAGAGAAATCGGATTTCTTGCATACATGAATAAGCTTTATATTTTTGAAATATTAACCTCGGACATACATTCCCATAGAGATGCCAAACTAAGAAATTCAAAGCAAGGATTGTGTACTATTCTACCATTCAGTAGGTCGATAGGAATGAAAAAAATATACTCAAAAAATACCACATCGTAACATCTAGATGCCTTTTGGTGGTTAGGATAACCTAGAAAACAACATTTTGAACAGTTTTGGCTGCCAGTTTGTCTAATTCAGATGCTGGCAACGTAATAGGGCATGGCTGCCAGTTTGTCTAATTCAGATGCTGGCAACGTAATAGGGCATGTGCAGCCAAAGACAAGAAAGATAAAATAGTCTAGGGATTGAGTGAACAGAAAAAGACACTTCACTAGTTACGTAAACAACTTCTACTAAAAAAACACATTTCGATGGTTGAGAAGAGAAGAGCTCGTGCAATTACTAAGATGTAGAAATTTTTGGGTTGGAGTATATGGACAAGATTTTTTTATGTTGAATATTTTTATTAGAAAGGAAATTTTAAAACATCCCATTAATATATAATCCTCACCAAAATCTTATCATAAGGCTTTGACTTCTGTAGAAAAGAGAGTTTCAATATAAGAACAAAACCTGATAAAGATGTCAAATAGTTTACTACAATTGTTATTAGAAAATAAAACCTAAGTATATCTGGTGTGATCATCAATAAAAATGACATAATACTATGACCCCTACTTTTAAATCAAGAAAAACTTTTATCCAAATATTAGTTTGCACTATTTGAAACATAGAAGCAGAAATTAAATTGCTACGATTCATTGGTAACACATGTATTTCAGTGTTAGAAGAAATAGAATCAATAACACTATGGAAAACAAAAACTATAATCAAGATATAAAAATATGCCAGTTGTTGATGCTACAAAGATCAGTTATCAAGTATTGCATCATAGGCAGAGGTTTTGGTGTGTGTTTTTAAATAGAGATTGTCCAAAAAATAGAGATCGCCAACTTAATGCCTAGTCCCAATCAATTTCCCCGACTGTCAGTCTTGTACATAACATCCAAGAGGATTGAAAACAACATTATAGTTGGAACAATCAATTTGACTAACATATAGCAGATTCATAATGATAGAGGGACATGGTAACCACCAAAAACATTCATTTTACTAGAAAAATCATATCAGTATTTGAACGAACTTTAGAAATTTTCATAGAGGTACCATCAATAGTACAAATAGTATAAAATCCGGATTTATAGTCAACAAGAATATACTCATTGGTCATCATATGGGGAGCAAGACCGAGTCTAATAACCAAGAAGCTGAAACAATTAACCTTAAAAAGCAGATGTAGATTCGTCGGGCAATCGGGATTGTAAAAACAACGAGTGAAGTTGTTCCGTTATAAGAGTGATCAATGAGGAAACAACATCAACAATTTGTGGTGTTACATCAATTAACTAAATGCCAGCAATCACAACAAATTAATCGTAAAATTGTCCCTTAGGAAAAGTCATTCACCAATTGTACCAAATAGAAGTAGTGTTATGATTGAAGTAAGATTATCCCAAATTTTTAATGAGGTTTCTCTTTCTTTTAAATCGATTTATTTGAGAAATTTGACGACTGAGAGTGCTTCAAATCAAATGGGAGATCTTTAAGTAGGCATCAAATCTGAACGAGGGATCTTCAACAGTCTACCAGAAGAATCACAAAGATTGCCTAAAATAAAAACACCAGATCTGTAATAGAACATGCTCTGAAATCAGATATGTAACAAAATACAATTTCAGTTGGCAGTTTCGAGAGTGCTATTGCCTTTTTATTTTCAAAAGATGGTTTCGACAAGTGGTTCTGTTCAGACTCACGGACCTGATCAACCTTACTTTGATGCCATGTGAATGGATGAGAATTTTTGTATTCAACTTATGGGAGAAAATCCTATTTATGTATACAAAAGTGGTTATATTATACAACCTATGTGATATACAAAAAAATAAAATAAAATACACACCATTGCACATTATACAATTAAAAAATAAATGTCTTTGATTCATCCTAGTAATAGAAATAAAATCAGGCATTCCTAGTTTTTGGAACGGTCACAAGGCAAAGATATTGACATTTTCAATCACGCAGAGTACATGCAAGGAAACTATGAGAGAATAGAACAAGAAAGGAAACTACATATTACATAACTGTAATGAATAGGAAAGTACTGACAATGTAAATTATATATGAGTTGTACTTTTTTAGCATTGAATGGGTATGGTTTGTAGGAGGTTGCAACCTTAATCAAATTAGGCGCACCTCCAAATTTTATCATAAATATAATTTTGGTGTAAAAAATTCTTAGGATGGCTAGAGAATCGATTTTTATCTCTAAATATAAAATTTTAAACTCCAAAAATGATTCAAATCAAGCAAATATATAAATTCTTGAAAATAAACAGTCTAAATAATGTGTTGTAATATACACCATTTTTAAGACTCAAAATCTTTTTTTCTTTTTATACATCTCGATGTTTAGGTGATCAATTAGAAAGCTTTCCAATATCAAAACAAACTTTTATGATGGACTTTTACGATGCACCTTAATTCTATATTTTAAGACTGCAACCTTATTATATAAACATTTTTTAGATAATAATGAAATAACCACCACAATTATGTGAAGTTCCTCCCTCCCTCTCTGTCTCTAAGATTTCTTCACCTAGTTGTAAAGGTTCCTATTTGATGCTTATTTTTATTTCTTTTGAAGTATTTATGTCAGCCTATTGTAAATTTTAGGTCGGGCATAATTTGGGTTTGTTGATTCACAACTCCGTAGTTGTTGCATGTTCTTATTTGGAGGGAGTTTATTATTGTTTTCTCCAAATCTTGCCTTTGAGATTAAGGTAAATCCCTTCTCTTAAAAACAAAATGATAATAAGGTCGTGGTGGTACACTCTGGCCATGATGTGCGGCGCCCCACATACGCATGCCTGCCTAGTGCCTACCAATGAATTAACAATTGTTGCGGATGTGGATTAAACTAAATATTTATAATAAAAAATCCACTACACAATATTTATAGATGAAAATGAACAATATTTTCGCCTATAAGCTTGACGCTATCCAAAAAATCGGACGGCATAGGTAACTCACTGCATATTTGGTGCGGTCACTTTTTTCTTGCAGAGCCGTTACGACTTTTCAGGCAAAACCATAGATGGCTCTATGAGAACTGTTGCGAAGCGAAACACGATTCATTTTTGCCCTACGACGTTATTAAGACTTTTCCTTTATGAAAATATCAAGGATGGGGTTTTTATGAGTTAGCCCACTCGTACCGTACACATGTAACCCCCACGTAAACCTATCTTAACGAAATTAGAGTTGCAAGATCTAAGTTAAGATGATCATGAATATTAATATATATATATATATATATATTTATATATATATATATTATTATTATTTATTTTTTTTTTTTTTAATGTGATTTTTTCTAAAATAATTTTTATACCGTCTAACATGTATTTTTTTTTTTTACAACATCCAATCTTAGGGATGGACTGGTGAGTTAGCGGGTACAAGAGTCCAATCTTCAATAATGATTTGAGGAGTGAGACTAGCACCAATTTAGAGAAGGGGGCAGTTTCTATAGAGCCTAGGCTCTTAACTATCAAATTAGAGCCTACCTTCAAACCTTCAAATAGTTTCGAGAAATATGGTTTCAATACTGGAAATCTACGTGATGTCCTTAAAATGTATTTTCATCTTTATTTATAAAGTTTAAAGCTTAAAAAATAGTGTAGAACGATAGATGTATGAGAATGTGAAAATTTTGAAAATTGACGGTCCAAAAATACTTTATAAAATACACTATTTTCGAAACTTGAAATATATTTTTCTCTTGTATCCATGCATCTTGATGTCAAGATGATCAATTTGAAAATATTTGAGCATCAAAGCAACCTCTTCTAGTGAAAATTTTGAAGTAGGCTCTTATTTGATTATTTAGAGCCTAAGCTCTATAGAAACTTTCTAAAGCTCTATAGAAACTTTCTAAAGCTCTATATAAACTTTACCCTTTAGAGAGCCAAGATGTTTATATCTGAATTTGCATGTATCCTTCAGGAATATCCATGATCCTCTATTTATTCTAAAGCCAGGGTATATACCACGGTGATAATCGAACTCATCTCTCCCTCTCTCTCATACTCCATTGCAATGATCAATCACTCTCTCATACTCCATTGCAATGAACAATCATCAATACCCCTCTCCCTGTTTCTCTCACACTCCATTGCAATGAACAATCATCAAATACCCCTCTCCCTGTTTCTCTCACACTCCATTGCAGTGATCAATCATCAACACACCTCTCTCCCTCTCTGTCTTTGTCCTTCTCTCTATCATACTCCATTGCAATCATCAATCCTCAATAGGGGTGGCAATGGGATGGGTACGGGTCGGGTCATGTTCGACTTGAACTCAAACTGAAATAATATTCAGGTTCAGGTTTTGGACCCAGAGCTGATCCGTCAGATCGAAAGACCCATACCTGTACTCATTGTCGAATCCATTGCTATGAGTTTTTTTTCTTTGTCCTCTTTTTTATTATTATATACCTATATTATTGACAACAAGGTCACAAGCAACCACCACTAGATTTCAGGCCATATGATTTGTCGGTAAATACGACTACTAGTTCTTATTGTATACCATCCTTAAACCCGGATCCAAACCCATGTACAAATAGTATCCGAGTTCAGATTTTACACCGGGTGGGTTAAAAAATTGGAATTGGATCTATATAGGAACCCAAGGTCGGATCTACCGTCCCCAGGATCTGATCAGGTCCATTACCACCCCTAAATTCATCAAATACCTCTCTCTGTCTCCTGTGATCCTACCTGATCCCAAATACCTCTCTCTGTCTCCTGTGATCCTACCTGATCCAGGGATCGTGGCGATGATGTAGGGGGGAGCTTTTAGTACGGTAAGTTAGCAACGGCGATAAACACGTGAATACACGACCTTCTCTCCGCACCCATGCGTGTACATTTATACAACCCATCTCCTTAAATCATATGTAATTATCATCCACATCCCACGCTATGAACTGTAACTCCCCACCATCATACGGGACCTGTCTCCCACACCTCTCTCTCTCTCTCTCTAACTCTTTCCTACCATCACAAATTCTCTCTCCTCTCTCTCTCTTTCATACCATCAGAAAGACTCTCTCTCTTCAGAGACACCACTCGCTACATAAACCTCCTATTCATCCAGCCTCCAGGCTCCATTACACACCTGAATCCATGGCTTCCCATCATTTCCTCTCACTCCTCCTCATCCTCTTCTTCCAAGCCACCCCACCCTCTGTTATAGCATGCCACAAAGTAGAGAGAGAAGCCCTTTTGAACTTCAAAGACACCATCACCTCTGATCCCTCCGGCCTTCTCACCTCATGGAACTCCTCTACTGATTGCTGCTCTTCTTGGGCAGGAATCACCTGCAACTCCAATGGCCGAATTATCAAACTCTCGAGACCGGGCCTCTTCTCTGACGAGGATTCCATTACAGACACCTCCATGTCTGGAATTCTCTCCCCTTCTCTCTCTAGCCTCTTTTATTTGCAACTTCTTGATCTCAGCAACCTCAAATCTCTCTCGGGTCATATACCCGCCGGTTTTTCAAAGCTCCACCACCTTTCCTCTTTCTTACTTGATTCGAATTCTCTCAGTGGCCCTCTGCCTTCTTCTCTCTGCAAACTCGTGAACTTGCGGAGACTATACCTTGATTCCAACCAATTCAGTGGCCGCTTGCCTTCATGTTTTGGCTCTCTGGTTAAAATCAGAGAGCTGGGTCTCTCTAAAAACCGATTTTCAGGTAGAATTTCAGCTGCTTTCAGGTCAATACAGGGCTTAACCAGTCTCGATCTCCATGGAAACCATTTTTTGGGTGAAATTCCTATTCGAATAGGGCACCTAACCAACCTCACATACATGGACCTATCAGAAAACAAGCTTTCGGGCTCCATCCCTTACTCCATTGGAAAGCTATCAAATCTTGCTCTGCTTTATTTGAACAATAACCAACTTAGAGGGAGCATCCCTAGCTCCATTGGGGACATGGGTTCTCTAAAATTTTGTCGCCTCTCCGATAATCAACTCTCTGGTTCCTTGCCCGAATCAATTGGAAAGATGGGCAGTATTCAGAGATTGATTCTTGAAAATAACATGCTTTCTGGTGAAATTCCAGAGAGTTTAGGCAATCTCAGCTCTCTCACTGATATATATTTCTCCAACAACCATTTAAATGGCAAGATTCCGGCGAGTTTAGGCAAGCTTTTGAACCTTCAAGATCTTGACCTCTCTAGAAACAGGCTCTCTGGTCCTCTACCCCTGCAACTCTCAAAGCTTCAAGACCTGCAAACCCTAGATTTATCCTTCAACCCTCTGCAACTTCATTCGATTCCTCAATGGCTTGAAACCCTCGGCCTCTTTCGCCTCATGCTCGCAAGAACAGGGATTGAAGGCCCATTGCCGAAATGGCTAGCAAATTCTTCAATCTCAACCCTAGACCTCGCCTACAACTCTCTCAAAGGCGAGCTTCCTCCATGGATAGGCAACATGAGCAATCTCGCCTTCCTCAATCTCTCCCATAACTTCTTCCATTCATCGATTCCACCACAGTTTCAGAGCCTCGAGCTCTTAGCCGACCTCGACCTCAGTAACAACGGCTTCAATGGCAGCCTCCAGCCCATATTTGGGAAAAAGACCCAAGAGCCCTTAGGCCATTACAACTCCATTGATGTATCAAGAAACCATTTCAGTGAAGCTCTGCCCAAAACCATTGGGGAACTCAAGGTGATGGACTCCATTGAAACCCTAAAGCTCTCTCACAACCCAATTGCAGGAGACATACCCTCATCTTTAGGGAAGTTGGGTGCGTTGCAAGTGCTTGAAATGGAGGAGAACAGGCTTTCTGGGTCAATACCAAAGGAGCTGGAAGGGACAAAGGAGCTTAGAGTGATAGTAATGGCGAAGAATGAGCTTAGTGGGAGAATACCTAGCGGGTTGCTGAATTTACTGAACCTTAGGGTTTTTGATGTTGCAGAGAACAAATTGAGTGGACCCATTCCACCCCATAACCAGACTTTACCTGCTTCTTATTTCAAAGGTAATCAGGAGCTGTGTGATGCTCCTCTTCCTCCATGTAAGCATCAAGCGTGAGATAACTGTAAAAGCAAAGAGAATGAAACCCAAACAGCAAAAGAAAACCAGAATGGTTTCAGTGACTTCAAGAATTTTAAACTCAGATTGATTTATAGCATGGGGAAGGCAATACCATGCACCAGCGGGTATAGGTTAGCAAATGGGTTCCCCATCGTCCATTAGTAGAATGGACGGTGGATGCATGGCCCTTTGAATATGGAATTCCACGGAGCATAAGGTATTGGCATGAGGTACATACTCTCGGATGGGGATAATATAAAGGTTGAAGTTTCTATAAAGCCTAGGCTTTATGAAAACAAAATAAAACCTCACCTCAAATCTTCATTCAGAAAGCATTTTTGGCAACAGAAATCTCTATGATGGCTTTAAATTCAATTTCCAACACTTATAATGAAATTTGAAACATAAAAAATTATATAGTTCTTGGGGATCTATAAACAATTAGTTTTAGGGCAAAATGGACGGTCTAGATAATTTAATATAATACATACTATTTTTAGAATTTGAAATCCTTTTGTTTTTTACAACCATAATGTTCAAGCTGAGATGATCGATATAAAGGTCTTCTAATGCTTGAGTTGCAATTTTCGATGAGTTATGAGATGAGGCTTTACTTATTTTGATTGAGCTACAGTCCTATCAAACTATTTTCCTAATATAAAAGGTGAATGAAGCTACTTACCGGACTGGACCATTGTGAGGCAAGCGTCAGGACACTTGGAAATAAATGGGCTCCCTTTTGTTCAGAACATGTTGCCCAAAGTTAGAGGGCTACATTTCTAAGTTGGAGGGCTACATTTCTCTTTCGGTTTCTTAGTGGAAGTTTCCAAAAGACTCGTAGGGCTACATTTCTCTTTAGGTTTTTTAGTAGGAGTTTTGAAAAGACTCGTATCCAAAAGACTCGTACCAACATGTACTTTGAATTGCCAACATAAGCTCCATTCTCCATTTCTCTTTAGGTTTCTTAATAGAAGTTTCATACTTCCAATTGCCAACATAAGTTCCATTCTCCATTTCTCTTTAGGTTTCTTATTAGAAGTTTTCGAAAGACTCATTGTCCATTTCTCTTTAGGTTTCTTATTAGAAGTTTTCAAAAGACTCGTATCAACAACATATACTTCAAATTGCAGCATGAGGTCCATTACGTAAAAGCAAGAGCAAAAAAAAGAAAAAAAGACGTACAATATTAGTGCAAAGGCATTCTAACCACCATAATCCATAACAAACTTTGAGCGAATTCTTTTTTGAACTCTGAATCAGGTCAATGGTATACTCCCAATGGCTCGATTTTTTATCTATCTAGAGTATTTATGACCTTTTTATTAAAAAAAAAACTATATTTACTTTATACTTCTAAACAAAAGTGTGGTTTGCATAAGGTTGATATCTTAAATAATCAATAAAAGGTGCACCACCAAATTTTATCATAAGACGTAATTTTGGTGTAAAAAATTATTAGGATGGCTTGAGACTCTATTTTTATCTCCAATTATACAATTTTAGATTTTAAAAATGAATCAAATCAAGTAGATCTATTAACATATAAAAATCTTGAAAATAAATGCTCCAGATAATATGTGCCAAATGCCCTATTTTTTTTGGAACTTAAACTCTTTTTTACTTTTTAAATATTTATACATCTCGATGTCACAATGATCAATTTGAGGGCTTTCCAACTTCAAAACAGACTTTTACGATAGAGTTTTTTGTTCACCTTAATTCTATATTTTTAAGTTCTGGGTTGTCGACTTCATTCTAGCATGTGTACACAGGCGAATAATTTGACAGATAACTTGCCTAAAGGAGGTGCTTCTTTATCTTCTTTTTCTATTTCCGATGAAATAATCCTATTTGGGTAACTCCATTCTAATAAGAGTTTTTAATATTTGTCAAAAAAAAAACACAGGTTGCAACCTTATATAAACATTTTCCTTTAAACAAAATAAGGCAAAGTGTCTTGACTTTTTTTAAACAAGGACTCAAACGTCCCTTATCCATACTTTCATGCCTACCCCTACCACTCCACAAGAGCCTAAAGAACCAACGGCTCCATTATGAAATAATAAGAGAAACCATTTCATTTAACCCAGCAATAAATGTTAGAACAAAAACAAAACAAAAAAATTGAAATTTATTTAGTACACTTTCGATATTCTTTTTCCTGTTTAATTTTCTCAAATGTGGATGGATTTCAAATAAACTACATATCTATACAGCATTTAGAGAATTTGGCATCTGATACATAATGAGAAGAAAGGGTGTGCTCCGCAAAACTACGTTGGATTAAGATTAGGTCAACCGAAACTCCGTCCCAAGAGAAACACCATCTAAATTGGGCAACATGTACCATCGAGTTTGTAAGTCAAATGTGACTAAATCAATTAAATTGAGGAACATGTACTATCGAGTCTGTCATTCAAATGTGATTCTAAAGTTATAATAGATTCAATTGTTTTAAAAAAAAAATTGCATCCCTTGGCACCGATGGATGGAGATTAACCTAAGCTACAGCTTCTCCAGTAGAAGGGCTTAGCCAATTCTCATGAATCTGTAAAATGAAGCTAGTGGAGAGTATAAATTTTCCATGGTTGAACATTCATTTGTAATTGACCTGAGGAATCAACGATGATTGTTCATCTTTTGTGATTTGATGTAAATAAGAGAAGTCATTGCAAGTTCAAGGCCACGTAAGCAAGACAGCAAACTCTTACTCGCCGACAGAATTGCCTGTCATGCAATGGAAAGAAATATAAAAGAGATCCCCCTTGTGGGAAAGAGGCCTTCAAAACCGAATTCCAAGGTTAAGAGCTCCGAACTTTAAGGTAAAGGGTAAAAAGCACTCTTACATTGCTTGTCCTCAGAATTTCATTACGCAAAAACTAAACATGGAGAAGAATTTCTACTCAATCAAAAGTGTCTCTGCAAGCATTTATGACCATAAAAAAAAAAACAAGTTTTCAAAGCACCAATTTCTATTCTCAGATACATGGATATATAGCTTATGAAGCTTAAAAATCAGCAACTCACCTGGAAAAAAATAGAATTATGTCCCGATAGACATCAAATAAATGGCAAGCGTATAAAGAATCTCTCAAATATAAATCTTGCTCAAATACAACTAAATTTGGTTACAATAGCCCCCGTTAGTTCAAGATGGATGTGAGAATAGAAAACACTTCTTACCCTCTTATTAATCCTACTTCCTTCCATCAAAACTTTAGTGTTTTATGCAATGGTTTAAAAAATGGATCGGTGACCCGGATCGGGCTTCCAAAAAACCGATTCGGATAGGCGAATCGGCGATCCGGATCGGGTGAATCGGTTAGAATAAAGCTCAAAAAAAATTCGAAAAAATTATTAAAATTCATTATAAATATTGTTTTTTAAGAATTCAATAAAAAATGAGGGTACTCCAATAAGAATTTTCATGTTTTTGAATAAATATGCGAATATTGATATGTTCTTTCCCTGCATGAACCGCCATTCAGCATTTAATTTACAGTATTTCGTGCTCATCCCTACACTGTTGCTGTTGGGACTTGATATGTGAATAATATGGCTGCAATAAGGTGGCCTCAGAATCATCATCTCTCTCATTTTCTCTTTGAATAATATGGATTAAAAAAAAAAATAACAAATTTTCAAAAAAATCGATCATGGATTAAAAAAAAAATCACAAATTTTCAAAAAATTCTATCATGGATTACAAAAAAAAATTCGTT